AAGCTTCCTTGTTTTTCTGTCTAAATTCTCCAACTCCATCTGGGTCCAATCAATTATTCATGCAGAATATCGAATCACAGGTATAGCCCAGGTATTTATGGCTTTTATGATGTTTCCTCCACTCAATTTGTACTTTAATATCTTGTGAATTCATCAAATGTACTTGGCTAAAGTTAATTCCTTGACTTTATTATGCATTAAGTCAGAGGCCTCTAAAATCCCCAAGTACTTGTAGCCTTCTTCTGGTTTTACTGCCTTTATCATTTCTTCATTCTCAAGTTCTATTATTATTATTATTATTATTATTATTATTATTATTATTATTATTATTATTATTATTATTATTATTAATAATAATTACATCTCTTAGTCTGGCTTCTAATCTACCACTTTAAATAATCCAGATTTATATTAAATTAAGTAGCCCAGTTTTATATTTATTGCTTTTTCTCACATCTCAACCCCTTATTCTTATCAAACCTACTGAAATGTATTATTCCTGCATAATTCAATACTAGATATGCAATAAAGGCTCTGTGATAAAGAGATTCCAAAATAATGAATAAGGGTGTTAAGATATTTGCTGCCATTTAAAATACACCATCTTTTAAATAGCAAGGGCTAAATAGCAAGATTGAATGATCTTAATTAATTTTTATCCCACTTCCATCTGTGAGTTCCATATCATCTTAGTGAAATGTGAAATCTGTATCACATAGCTTAGCAATCTTTCCCAAACTTCCCTTGTAACCTCAGTACAGACTATGATGAATCACACTATCCTAGCCTAGATGCAAAATAGATTAGGGCTATTTCTATCCCATTCCCAGATATTCATAGTCTGAGTGACATTTGAATGTATCTGTATGTGTTTTCTATAAAAATAACGAGTATAATGCTGCTTACAATTTTAGACTTGCGGTCCAAATTCCTAGAACTTCCATAGAATTCTGTTTGAATCAATGATCCAAATAACTTTGACAAGGACAAGAAAAAAATTCACAAGCCTTGCAATCAAAATATATCTTTTCTCAAACTGAATACTATACTATAACAAAAGGAAGCTGCATTGCACAGAAAAGTACTTAAAAGATTTAGGCTAAAGATTGTACAAAAATAGTACCACCTTCTACTGTTTTCGCTTATAACATGCAGAACAAAAATGAAGGATGGGTAACTTTTTCTTACCATTTTCCCAATCATCATTACATATGGCCCCAAATATTTGTTCACCCCGAAGATGTCTAACAATCGGATATACCAGTAAATAATGTTGACACAATATATGACGCGACCATCACTCCTGAACGGCTGATCCTGCAGGCGAAGCACCATTCCCACCGAGAATAAGAGGATGGCAATAAGATCGGTAACATTCCAGTATTCTTGAAGCCACACCTTTACCTTCTGCAGTAGTTTCCCAGGTTCTGACATTAATATCTAGAAATGGAAAAGGAATATCTTTTGAGTCAAAAATAATACGATGAATGATTTGACAACTATGTCCTGGATTATAATTTCACAATCTATTCACAGGGCTACCGCAAGCCTTATGGAATATGGACATTAAGAGCCAGCTAAGTAAGGCAATGTGAAATAGCCTCCTTGGTTTTGTAATAGAGTTTTAGAATACAGACAAAACTCTCTTTCTTGCACCTCTTGTGATTCCACTTACATGATCTGTACTTGAGGTCTATTTGTACCATCAGTGCAGACTCTGACATATACATATACTCTCTCTCTCTCTGTATGTATCCTGGATACCATGTACAGTATCATTACAGTAGAAACAAAATATTTCAGGATCTTTTTGCATTGTGTCTCCTTATAAGCCAGACAATTTTCAGCTAGAATCAAGATTTCTGAATGCTTTATGAAAACAAACATAGCATACAATCACCATTGCATGAAGACAAGAATGCTTTGTCTATTTATGTCCCTGCAAGCTATCTCTATCAGATAGTGTTCCTGAAGTAATAGTGACTTTCTTTTTTGAAGTACAAGGTGAGTGTCATAATTAAAAAGTGTGACTGAAAGATACAAACATTGGTAAGTTCCTCAAGCTAGGCGTGCCCTAACATTGCTTTTGTTATGGCTTTTCCCAATCTGGTGTTTTCTGAAAGTGTTGGATGTAATAAATGTCACTCTGAGGCATTTTCTGGAATAAATATACTTTTCCCTATTGGGAAAAATACAAATTATATGCAGGGGGAAAATATTGCTTTACACATAAACACATTAAAGTTCACTGTTAAATTTTACTTATTGATATACTATCAAATCAGAGGTGGTATTCAGCCAGTTCTCTCCGGTTCCGGCGAACTGGTAACAGCAGCTGTAGGAGTCTACGCCCACCCCTCTAGACATAATGCGTGAGCACTGTGCATATGCAGAAGGAGGTGCGCTCACATTTGTAAACTGGTAGGGAAGGTAAACTGAATCCCACGGCTGCATTAAATCTTATGATTTACGGTGGTTTTACAAAAATAGAAACTAAATTAGCAATCAGCTGTCAGTTAAATAAAATTAATTTGTATATACAATTCTGTCACAATAACTATAGGTGCCCATAGATATCATACATTCTTAAAGGTTATAGTTTGCTTAAAAGGAAAGAGAAAGTACTGTGGACACTGGATTGGACTCTAAGTGTCAGTTCCAAGGGTCTTTTATTCCATTGGAACTTCATGCAAACAGAAACAATGTGGCATTTTTTTTCTGTTTTCTCTTCCTGGTGTAATTTCCATTATTTTTAAGTATCTCGGTTCTTCACAGCACATACAGAAAACCAGCCAAAGTCAGAAAAAACCCACATTTTCTGATGATGACCGTATCCTATTTTTTTTACAGTAAGATTTATGTTTGGGAAAAAGCACAAGGAACAACTGTCTTTAGAATAGTATTACCTCTCTCATCTTTTCTATTCCCATTGTAAATATGTATGAGATAACTATCCACTCTTGCATGGAAGGCCAACGTTCCATTTTCACCAAAACTATATAATTAAACAGCATCAGGTACCCAACGTAAAACATCTGCAAAGAGAAAAACCCAGTTTACCTGCATATATGAGCTAAATGTTTAGCTGATATGTTACTGAAATCACATTATTTCTAGAAATAAAAAAATTCTCCTACAAGAAGACTAATTTTAGTTAAAGAATTCTTTATATATTGAATCCTATACTTAGATTTTATGAATTTATTTAAGAGTATACAATTCCTTGACTGCAAGTGAAGCAAATACATCATTGCCTAGTCTCTTTAAATGATTCTAAGAAGCAAATCAATTAATGCTGAAAGATTGTTAATACAAACGTTTAACTTTAACAATTTAAACCCAATTCAGTGGATTTTTATAAACTTAGTAAAAGTATATACAGAAGAATGAAGTCTTTATAAATTAGTGTTACTAAAATAAAATTATAATTGTTCCTTACAGTATAGAACCAAAATTTAACAATTGGTGCATTGTAGAACTCATAGATTTTACGTCCAAGGGGGATCAATCTATGTCTATTCTGAACTTCCTCCTCTTCCTTTTTTCTTACTGATGACTCTCCATTGGTACGTCCCAACATTGCCTATAAAATAAGAAAACATTGGATAAATGCATGAGAGGAAGCCGAATAGAAATAAATATAATTTGATATTCAGCATTATAATATATTGAAATACTGACTGCATTTTCAAATGGTAAACCAGAACCACATCAACAAACAAAATCTAACCGCAATTCACAAATCTCTTGGAATACACCAAAAGATTTGCTTCTATTTGTGTGATTTGTCATTCTCTTGATTAGTGTGTTTGAATCAGGTAAAATGAAACATACAACAGTGAGTGGAAGGACCATAGGGCTGACAATTGTAATGTTGGAATAGCAACATAATAGGATCTGAGTTATTGTGAAAGATACTTATTTCCTACTTCACATTTGCATCCAATGTTGTTAGCTATAGGAACAGTAAGCAAAGTGGTGGGATTCAGCCAGTTTGCACCACTTCAGGAGAACCGGTTGTTAACGTCCTGAGCAATTTGGTGAACTGGTGTTGGAAGAAATCATTAGGGCAGAGAACTGATTGTTAAATGATTTGAATCCCACCACTGTATGTGCCAATCAAACCAATCCTATCTCCCCCTTTTCATATATCCCCCAAAAATGTGGAGTAAGGCAACTATATCTGATCTCCCAGAATTTGGAGAACCTTTTAGTGACAGCAAAGAACTAAGAGTTTTCAAAATCTCTTTATTGCTACCTACCGCCTATCTGTACTTTTGCAATCTAGATACAATAGCCATGCATGGGAGAATAGCCTGAAACAGATTTAGGGCATGTTAAAAGGGATGGAAGAAAGACTAGAAGAATTTTTTTGTAGAAGCTTAGTCTAACTCAAATTCCTATCATTTAGTGGTGATCCTTATTTTTATACACCGGGTATGATAGCTTTAACTAATTAGATGATATTGAATTTTGTCCTAATTTTTTGATAAAATGGAGTGCCATTCATTAACGTTTCACAGGAAATTCCGAAGTATTTTCTTTAACAAACAAAGAGAATAATGTGATGAAACAAAAGAAATTGGCTTTATTGGTATCCTTCATTGATTTAGTGACTTAGGATGTAAAATTAAAAAAATATAATTATAACAAATACTTATGATTAATAATAAATTATAGTCAATGGTAGATTTATCAAGCTGGATTGAGGCAATCTAGGAAGATAATGTTTGATCTGTTGGAAGGAGAAAATGCTCATGGATTGGCTTGAAACTAAATATATTTGCTAAAAGGAAAGATGATAGTTTTCTAATCTTAATCTTTAAGTATTTATTTATTGGAAAACATTTTGCTAATTCACTCAACCCCCCCCCCCCAAAGTTAATTTCTCCTATAAAGATGGAAGAGGCTTTTTAAAGGCCATGACAGTTTTGTATAGATGCACATAGAAAAGGGGTGACATTAAGATTGGAACCAACTCTGTTTTCAGGAATGTTGGCAGAATGTATCTTTAAAGGTGTTGTAAATTAATTTTAGTATCTAATTATGGAATTTGTATTTTAAATTGTATTATTGGTTTGTTTTTCTTTGCATGAATTTATAACATAGCATAGTAATACATAAGTTGATTAAGTATTATTTATGTCAAATAATTAAAATATTAACAATAAATAGCTAATTATTACTGTTATAAATCCAAGACTGCAAGCTATGTGAAGTCACCTTATCTGAAATTTAAAAGGATATTCTTGTGAACCTTCCAGACATACTTAAATTTCAAGATTTTGTTCGATTATTTTACATACAACAAATAAAGAAAATCTTCAATGAAAAATTGTCTGCAATAAAATGATCCTTTTGTCAATTACATGAAAGAAATATGGATATCAATCAATAGTTTAAAACCTGATTGTACAAAAAGTGCAAATATCATTAAATGATATATATTATGCTAAGATAAGCATGAAAAAGTATTATAATGTATAATTATATTTATAAAAAGGGTCATTGTAGCTTTTTGTCAGCATAAAGTTTGGATTTCTGATTTCTGATATTTTTTAAATAAAAAAGCAAAGTAAAAAAAAATTAAAAATGAAGTTATAAAAACAAAAACATAAACAACATGAGTAATGTAAGAATAGCCTTCAGACATTTTGATGTTATCATGTTATAGCTACTAGGTTTTTTAAAAATTTCCCTTTACCCTTCAGTTTCAATGAGGAGAACATTATGGTTTTTCTTTAAAAAGGGAATGATCCATCTTGTCTAGTTACCACATGCTTTTCTTCAAATGTGTGGTATAGTGATTCTAATCCAGGAGTGTCAAACTCGATTTCATTGAGGGCCACATCAGGGTTGTGTTTGACTTTGGAGAGTCAGGGTGGGCGTGGCCAGGGTTGGCATGGCTAGCTCAACGTCACTCAGGTCGGGGGCGCATGTGGTGGCCTGAATCCTCTGCCAGCGAAAACGGGCTCCTGAGCTTTGTTTTCAGCTGTGACAGCATCCTGCAACCCTGTGTCAGTGAAAACAGAGCTCAGGAGGGTTGTGGGTGGCCCTCCTGAGCTCTCTTTTTGCTGGCAGATGCACCACAGACAGTCCTTTGCTGTTTTCAGAGCGGCCCCATGGACCCGATCTAAGCACCCCGTGGGCAGGATCTGGCCCCTGGGCCTTGAGTTACTCCACTCAGAGTTGGTTGGATATAATACAATATTTGATATTCTCCATGTCTTACTACACATTGCTGCCTCATTCCTATTTTTCAAACTATTGTATCCTGCTTCTTTTCCAGGCATACTTGTTTAATATTCATGACCGCTCACCCGGGCAGTCTTTCAATCTCTCCTTTTTTCCTGTCAACAGCATTTAACCCAACCATGTGAACTTTTTGTTCATTTAACACAATGACACATTTTAAAGACTCTGAAAAAGAAAACCACCATATCAGACTCCTTCAAAACAACCACTCTGCAGTTGATTGAAGAAAGTCTGATTACACTCATGATCCTTCCATATACATTATACTATAGGTTCACTAATTTAATATTAGACATGGGGAAATACAGGTAAAGGATTGAAGTCACAATAAGAGGAGGGAAAGGAAAACCATGCTACATCTGTTTTGGTATTTTGCATGCCAGAATTTTGCTCAAACAAAACACGGTACTGGAGGAAATCATAGGTCTGGCGCATGACAAGAGACCAATTGCTATTCACTATGATGTAGACCCATTAAACAATCTGTGCTTTTTGGATTTGAATCAGCACATCATCTATTGATCAGAAGCCAGCAAGAATTAGCTACTATTAAAGCAGAATAGGTTCATATCATAGGAAAGCAACCTGTCAATCTTATGCTGGCTTATGACCTTTTCCTCTTTTTCCAGGGTCCGGGATCTTGCCTGAATAGGGGTCCTGTAGGTTGATCTTGTGCCTATGGTCGTCTCCTTCCCTGAATTGTGGTTCTTGTAGGCAGAGCCATCTGCCTGCCTGCGTATAAGATCCTGGGGATAGTTCTTGCTGGTGGCCTGAAGAAAATAGCCTCATTTTTAACAAGCAATCCAGTTTTTAATAGATTCTCTAAACTGAATAGGGGACTGAAAGAAAGTCAGTAGATGTAACAATACAAATAAATGCTTATAAAATCTTATGCCAGCAGTGAACTTATTATTTGGATTATATTTAAGGTGATCAGATTTTCAGATTGGTAAAGAGGGACACCATTGACCGGGGGGGGGGGCCCTTGATTAAAAATTTTATATTTTGTCAAAAGGCCACAAAAGGCAATTACATGACCCCAGGACACTGAAACCATCATAAATACGAATGTTGCCAAACATCAAAATTTTGAT